AAGGTTGCGTACCCCTGGTCTAATTCATCTTCTGAAGCTGAACTCTCAATGAGGTGGGCTACAAGTAGGTTTGTATCATCTTCAGTAGCCAAACTCTGAAGAGGAGGCATGACACCCTAAGGCAGGATATTTTACTGCTGAACAGCTCTTACCATCAGGAGGCACTTCCTAATATTTAAATAGAATCTCCTTTCATATAATTTGAATCAAATGACTCATGTCCTATCTTCTAGTAGAACGGAAAACAAGTTTGCTCCATTTTTTTTCAGACAGCAAACACCTGAGCTGTGGAATTCACTACCACAAGATACAACGAAAGGCACCAACTTGGACGGCTACTGGTCACCTCTGGTACTCTTCTGTATATCAGTTGCTGACATGGGAGGGAGCTGTTCTGTTCATGCCCTACTTCTGGGCATCACATAGGCACTTGGTTGGTCCCTGAACAGAATCATGAACTAATTCAGCTTTTGGTTTAATCTAGCAGAGCTCTTCATAGGTTCTTATGTCTGTGACTGGAGCTCCAGTCCTTGGAAGCACTAGGCTAGGTTGTTGTGAGAGCTCATACACTGTCTATTTACCCTGTGTGCTCAAAAGATTTCTATTTCCTTTCAGTGTCTATTATAACCCAGCTCTCCAGAAAAACAAGCAAACCCTTATTCTGAAGCTTTTTCAGGCTGCCAGACAGCTACAAGGGTGAAGGCAGATTTCCATAGAAATAACATCCTTGCTTACAGGCAAAAGAAACATTGGCATATTTTATAGACCACAGGCTACAGCACTAAGCAACTGATGTTCAGTGGTTCATGAAGTACCTGTGAACATCCTGACCTACACCTGCATGATTACACATTTGCTAGGCTATAAGTAACTCCCTGGGGTAAAATCCTAGTAGAAGGCAATAATCGCCAAAAGAAACAATATTTGGCAATGAAACTTTTTGACACCAGTGCTCAGTGCCTCCTTTAACCTCACACTATTCATGTCACAAAGTGTGCTCAGAAGCTGACTGGAAAGGAAGCATCAGAAATGAGGTGGGGTGTGTGTACAACTATAGATATTTCAAGGGAACAAATAAAACAAACAGTGGGATATATTATTGCTGTGGGTTTTCTCCCTTGCTTCTTGACCATTCTGAAAGTGAATAGAGTTCCTGACAGTCTATGAAAATGGTTTTACACCTGTAAGTAGCCTAGGATCACACTCTGAGGGAGGAACAGCAACATTGGTTGTAAATGTTAGGTTAAATCCACAACACTTTTTAAAGCTTGAAAACAATGTCATTTCACTGCTGGGAACACAATTCAGAAAAGAAGGAAAAAAAGAGCCAATTGACTGCAGTGGTTGTCATTGGTTTTTTTTTCTGTGCACATTGAAGGAATTTCTGACTTATGGCAACCATAATGCAAACTGATCATGAGGTTTTCTTGTCAATATTTCTTCAGAGCAGGTTTGCCAGTGCCTTTTTCTGTGATTGAGAGAGTGTGACTAGGTCAAGGTCACCCAGTGAGTTTCTGTGACTGAGTTGAGATTTGAACCCTGGTTTCTCAGGAGCTTATCGCATTACCTTTTAAAGGGGAAAAAGCTTCCCGGGATGCAGCCAGGATGCTGGGTGGGGGCAGGAATTATCGCACAGTAAGTCGCCATTGCAGCCCAGGTCCCAGCTGTGCTCAGCCAGCTCTTTTTAGAAATGGAGCTATCCAGCATCCTGGCTGCATCCCAGGAGGCTTTTCTGCTTTAAAAGGTAATGTGATAAGCTCCTCAGAGTCCTGAGAGCCAGTGTGCTGATACAGTCTGGGTGTTGAATTAGGACTCTGGGAAACCAGGATTCAAATCACCACACAGTCACAGAAACCCACTGGCTGACCTTGGGTACATCACAGTCCCTCGCCCTCAGAAGAAGGATGCCATACCCTCTTTGAACAAATGTTGCCAAGGAGACCCCCCCAAAAAATATGAGAGCTAGACTGCAGTTTGACACCACTTTAACTTCCATTATTCAATGCTATGCAATTTGGGATTTGTAGTTCTTTGAGATATTTAGTCTATCAAAATTGCTTTGGTGCCCACCAACCTACAAACCCCAGAATTTCCTAGCATTGAGCCATGGAAGTTAAAGTTGTGTCAAGTTGCTTTATTTCTGCAGTATGACAGCAGCCCCAGTCTGATTCAGTGATTTGAATGTTGAACTATGACTCTGGAGACGAGGGTTTGAATCCCTGCTTGGCCACACAAACATGGGGTGACCTTGGCCAAATCACAAACTCTCAGCCTTGTTGTTGTTGTTGTTAACTGCCCTCAAGTTGACCTCAACTCGTGGTGACCTTGTGAATGAAACGTCTCTAAGACATCCCCTATCCACCATTGCTCTACTCAAGTCCTGCAGGCTCAGACCATCACCTCTCTGATTGAGTCTGACTGTCTGGTATGTGAAAACATTCAGGGGTAGCTGTGTTGGCCATTTAGAAAATTCAAGCAAAATCCATCAGTGATACCTTTATTCCTCCAACCAAAATGCACAATATACTTGTTGCAAGCTTTCTAAGCTCCATGGGCTTCTTCATTAGGCAAGATGTTACAAACTAAACAGGAAAAAAACAATTGAAGATGTTAGTCAGATGCCTACATGTTGTTTCACCTTTTAGTTATGGTGGAGAAGATATATTTTGTGGGCAGACTCCTCCTCCTCCTGGACCTGTGGCTATAGGGATATTTGCAAAGCCCAGGAAATTTAAAATCCATTTGTATCTCAATATGGACCCTTCTTTTGCAATCCAATATGTCTCCATTTCATTGAGGTCACAGGCCTCTTTGTGGCAGAGACCAATGGATTCCTCAAGAAGTCTCCATGTGTTTGCATCAGGAATATTTTGGTAGATGTAGAGGTAAAACATGTGCATTCAGTCCAAATTTATGAAGAAGAAAATTGTTTTACCTTGACTGAAGTTCCCAGTCCACAGGCTATTCTTCTACAATGTGGTTCCTCACAATACAAAAAAATTCAGGGGTAGCTGTACTGGTATGTGGTATCTGGTATGTGCTCTTCCTCTCTTCCTACTGCTCTCCAATTTTCCTAGCATCATTGCCTT